AGGATGTGTGCAACATGGAGCAGATGCTCCAAACCCAGACCAAACACAGGACCATTAAGACAGTTCCAAGTGACAGGGACCCCATGGGGTGGAGGAGAACTGCCCCCTGTGGATTTCTGGGGCTATCGACTTTAGAGGAGGAGAAAAAGAAATAAAACCTCACCTTTTTCTCCCTCAAAGTACTTGGTAGCTTCCAACTACTGATGTGGCTAGTGGCCCAGTGCAGACCTCAGGCAACCACCAGAGTTCCTTCGATGCCAGAGAGGTTTTAGTAGACGGGCCTGAAATGGCATGAGAATCCCCCAACGATGTAATTAAAGCAGAACATTGCTTTAATGGTCCTGTGGCTTTGAGTTTGTTTAAGAAAAACAAACCCTGCTCCTTTCTTCTCCTTTCCTCCCCAGCCCTCCCCTCCCCACCCCTCTCCTTTGCTCTCCACTCCTGCCTTTCCTTGCCCTCCCCTCTCCTCTCTCTCCTCTCCTCTGCTGGATGACTGCCCTCCCTTCTAGCCCGCGATCTGCACGTTCCGATCCCTTCTCGCCTCCTGTTCCTTTTCCCATCCTCTCCCTGCCCCAACTTTCTGCCTGGAATTTTCCACCCTCTGCATCTTCTCCCCAGGGACGCTTACGTAACTCCTTACTTTGGTGACTGATTCTGTTAGTTGCTCTCTGGACTAGAGGATTTTCCTAATCTTCTTAACTTCCTAGGGCTTCTGGTCCCATGCTTTGCATCCCTATGGCTTTTTCAAAGTAATTTATGCAGCTCCTATTTTGCATTTTAGTATCTTTACCTTCAGAGTGGCTTTTCTCCTGAGAATTCAGATGAAGTACCAGTGCTGTTTGTCTTCAAGAAAGGACAATGTTGCTTAACTTGGAGATGAGCGGGGTGGGCTATATGGCCTTTAAATTGCCCGCTAGCTATGGAAGGCCATGTAGTTGGGCTGATAATTAAGCTGAATTTTAACAGGCATCGTTTAAGCTCTCAAGAAAGGAAAAACACGAGGTTCACTAAATTGCTTCTTCTGTCATCATTCTTGCATAATTTGAAACACGATAATCATCTAACCACGAGCACTAATTCTAACTCCTAGAGACCATCCGGTATTCTGAGATTCAAGGGTTTCCTCCTCTAACTCAGTGCAATTTCCCTCCTCTCATTTATTTGGGAACTTTTTGTCTTTTCTTCTTCATATTCTGGCTGAATATCTCTGGCTTCTGTACAGATGACTCCTTCCAGGACCAGTAGAAAAAGTTCTTGGAAGACCCCAACAGACACCCTATGGCATATGAAACCCTCGCAGTGTTTCATTCATTCTCGGAGCTTGCTTTGGGCTGGGGTCCTTGGAGTAGGATCCCCCAATGCCAGGGTGTATGCAAGACCTCAAATGCAGGAAGGAATCTTCATAGCCTGTTGTAATGACCGCTGTTTTAGAGAATCTCATCCTTTGTATTAATATACAAGTCGATGTATAGAGGCCAGGATGAGGGGGCTTCTAAGAGTTTGTATGAAAATGGAATGAAAAAATAATAGAATTTTGGCACAAACTCTTTGAAGCCTCCTTGTAGAGTGTGCTTGCTCAAAAATGTGTTACTGTTTGGAATGTATCATTTAAAAGCTTGGAAGCAAAACACTTGTCTTAATCTCATGCAATATTCCTCTAAGTATAATCTACAATGAATATAAACTTAATGACTCCTGTTGTAGCTGCGCTTGAGTTGGCTTCCTGTTCACAAGGGCCCCCAGGCACAGCGTTTTGAAACTAAGCACGCAATCCCCATGACCATGAATTAATGTCATCCAAGGGCTTCTTATTGGCTGATTCTCAGAAGGAGCTCACCAGTCCTTTCCTCTTAAGCCAGTGGTTCTCAACCTTCCTCATGCCGCGACCCTTTCATAGAGTTTCTCATGTGGTGGTGACTCCCCCACCCTCACCCCCGGCCCAACCATAAAATTATTTTCCTTGCTACTTCATCGCTGTCATTTTGCTAATGTTATGAATTGGGTGACTCCTGTGAAAAGGTCGTCGACCCCCAAAGAGGTCGCAACCCACAAGTTGGGAACCGGTGTAATAAGCTATCTTCATCTAGAATCTTGTCTATTCAATATCACAGCAATATGCCCACCCTAACTGGCACTGACTGAACATGGGGAACATTGGCTAGCATAGAATCTGGGTCCCCCACACGGAAACGGAAATCTCCACCACTGAGTCAATGACTCTTAGGCTCTGTAAACCTAATGTTAACTAGTACCCTTTTAAATTTGCTCCTTTCTTTGTAAAACCCATTGCCCTCTTAGGATCTGTCAGGGTTCCTTCCTTTTAAGCAATGAAAACTAGCGCTGACCAACTTCCACAAGGATGCTGACAAGGACACTGGCGAACTCTCCTAGTCACGGTGCCCATTTGGCCTCCTCAGAACAGCGAGGGCAGCCCTAGACCTCGGGGCAGCATCTCCTAAGCTAACGTGCAGGCCTCGCACTGGCTGAGTGCGTTCTAGGTACCTGAGTGTCTCCCCTCAAAATTAACCGTCCAACAGAGTCTGACTGTCTACGTGGAGTGACATATAGACTCACACAAAATCGCGTTAGCATTCTTCATGTGTATTCCTTATTTTCCCTCTTACGGAGAGTGAAAGGAAAGCCCTTACCGTCCCCCATGTCGATGCATTTGGACACAGGCCGCGACTCCGTAATACCAAGGATAGCAGCCTCATGCCCTCTCCATTGGAAAGAGGACCTCCTTCTCGTGGGGGGTGGGGAGGGGGCAAACAAACAAAGGTCAAATGATTAGTCTCAAATGGCGCATTTCTGCTGGAACTAAATTTCTATTTTAACTTTTTTACTTTGTTGCATTTTTCTTCCCTTGATATTTTAATTAAATGGTATTGAATTATTATACTATCTACAACATTTAACCAGTTATATCCACCAATACTCACTGCCATACAGTCAGTGCTGACTCATAGTGACCCCTAGTGGGGTTTCGAGACTGTAACTGTTTACAAAAGTAGAAAGCCCACTTTTCTCCAACGGAGCTACTGGTGGTTTTGACCTGCCAACCATGCCGATCGAAATCCAACACATAATCACTACACCATCAGGGCTCCTAGACCCACCAGTGGTCAAATATAATTCAATTGTTCCATGTAGAGCTGGAAATCCGTAGGCTAATTTTAATTTTAAATTAAAATTTCTTAAAAATATTTTGCTTTTATATACACAAATTATATATACACAATATACACAAATTATAACACTCTGATATTATCCCAAAATCTACGTTTAATCGTGTGTGCCTTTTGCTATTGGAAAAAAGTAATATCAAGCAATTATCCTTCTTCATATATTTGTTAGAAAATATTTAAGAGATGGCTTTAAAGATATTCCCTTCTGGATTTGAAAAGTGATGCAGTGAGGGTTTAGTTTCATCCTGTTTCGTTTTTCCCATCAAATTGTGGTTGTTTTCAAAGGTCAGAATTTATAGGGCGTAGACTAAGGTTCTGTTTAAGATAAGGTTTATGCATACATAGATGGAGTATGTCATTAAGAGGTACCATTAATGTGGAGCCAGAAGACCCTCTCCGTCCCTCGATGTAACTGTATTTCCATCAGGAGAATGTCCATGTGGCCATCTGGACTTTAAAGTTCATGAAAAAGGTCAAAAGCCAAATGTCATCTTGGAAGAATCAAATGTACCCCATTTTAAATTTCAACTAGTGCTTTCTGTCTAGTTATGAATTGGGTTTATAAGAAAAGCTGTCAGAACCTACAAGAAATTAACACCCGTAAAAAAAATTTAAGTGTAAAAAATTCACATTTTGTAGTAGGAAAGTCGGGAGCGGAGTACAAAGACCATTCTGTCCAGAGCAGGTCAAGGCTAGGAGCCCTGCCGTCGGGGAGCCCGGCCTCTGCTGTGCGGACAACAGTGTCGTGTGAAGTGAGACAAGGGCCTGTGCTCAGAATTCTCTTAATGCTCCCTTGTGATTGTGTCTAATAGGAAGACATGAGTGAAATATTGGCTTTGACTTTCATTGTAGCCCGTCAGCCCATAATCTTCCTCCATAAAAATGCCTTATTCTATTAGTCGGATGGTTTAAATAAATCAACCCACCAGCCAGTTACCCTCCGGGCGATTGTGACGTGTCATACTACAGGTGTCTCCCCCCCCCCCCCCAAGGTTTGCCAGTGGTGTCAATACTGTTGTTTTTGCATGCCACCCTGTCCATTCTAACTCATCGTCACCCCCAGGAGTTTGAACCGCCAACGTTTAGGTTAGCAGCTGACCGCATCAGTGTCAATAGGTATAACCAATTTGAAACTTTTAATCAGATGCCATATTTCTAAGGTTAATATTTGAAAGAGTTTTCTTCCCTTTCCAAGTCATCTACTACATGCATAAGCCTATGGAAAAACATCCAACCCACCGGATGTGTTGTTGGAGACATGCGGAAGGAAGCACATTCAAATAACAATTATGTACCAAAATGTGTAATAGCGAAAACAAAAGACAAAAAAAATAACACCCCCCCCTCCCCCCAATGGATTCCCTGCCGTTGAGTCACTTCTGACTTTACAGCAACCCTTAGGACGGGAGAACTGCCCCGATGGTTTCGGAGACTGTCACTCTCCGTGGGAGCAGAAGGCCAGTCTGTCTCCCAGTGCTAGAGAAAAGAGGTCAAAAAGAAAGGAAAAACCCAAGAAGATCAAAGGAAATAGAAATCCAGATGGTGGAAGTAGGACGCTAAACAGGCTTTCTCAGATGGTAGGATTCCGAATGAGGGGGGAAGTACGAAGGCTATTCTCTATTTGGACCACGCAGTTAGCCTGATATGGGGTGCTTTAATGTTAAGTACAGGTCTGATGACGGCTTTGAGGGGATTATAATGAAAATGTTGAATTGATTTAAATAGTAACTTGTAAGCAAGTGCGTTGCCGCTGGACTAGCTTAACAGGCGTTCAGTCTGAAGTGCAGGCAGTTCACTCTCCCCTCTCCTCCTCAGGTGTGTCTGCACAGCTCACCAGCACGTGGCACCGCCCCAACACGTCGGTGGGAACACCGTTTTGGATGGCGCCTGAGGTCAGACAGTTTGATTTTTGTTTTAATTTGGGGTTGTTTGGCTTTTTATTTGTGTGTTTTAATAAATTATTGGGGACAAAAGCCACGTAACACAAAATGAACCATTTAAAATCCAATGATGTCCAGTAACTTCACAATGCTGTGCTGCCACCATCTTTTCAATTCCCAAACATTTCCTCCATGCCAAATCTCTTCCCCAGGAAGCCATTGCTCCCTCTCCCTTTCTCATACACGTGGACTCCTACATCGTGTGTGTTTTTTATCTGGCTTCTGCCCTTAGCATAGTGTGTGTAGACTCATCCACATTGTAGCCCTCAGCAGTGCCCCATTCCTCTATAGGACCGACTCCTTTCTAGTATACATAGAAACCACAATTTCTTTATGCATGTATTCATGAGTGGACATTTGAGCTATTTCTACCTTTTGGTTCTTGTGACTAGTGCTGCTATATGTACTTACTTGAGTGCTTATTTTCAGCTACTTCACTTAAATACATGCTAGTGGAATGTGTGGGTCATGTGGTAATTCTAGTCTTCACTTTCAGAGGAGCCACCAAGCAGTTTGCCACAGCAGCTACACCATTTTACATTCAAATCAGCAATGTATCCGGGTTCCAATTTTCCCTGAAATACTACTTGTCATCTTCTAGTTTTCTTTTTATCATAGCCATCATAATGGGTATGAAGTCGGATGTCATGGGCTTTCATCACAGTCCCTTAATGAGTAATGATGCGGTGACTCTTTCCTGGAGGTGCTGGCTACAAGATCAGCGGTTCAAGTGCAAAGGTTGTCCCCGTGTAGGAAAGATACGGTTTGCTGCATCTGTCCAAATGCACAGCCGTAGAAACCCGTGGATGGGGCGCTTCTGCTCTGTCCTTAGAGGGTCCGTACGAATTGGACTTAGCTTGATGGGGTGTTGGGGTTTGGTTTATAATGAGTAATGATATTTTGTAATATAAGAAGGATGTGTTTATTGTGCATTGATATACTTTTCACCTTCTTTATGATATCCTTTGAGGTATAAAGTATTTCAATTTTGATTGTTCGTTACCCTATTTTTACCTTTTGTAGCTCATGCATGTGGTGCTGAGTGTAAGAATCCTTGCCAAATTTGAGGTCTTGAAGATTTATCCCTGTGTTTTCTTCAAGGGATTTTCTGGTTTTCGCTCCTATGTTTAAGTTCTTGCTCCATTTTGAGTTGATATTTGCAGATGATAGCAGTCTTACTTCATTCTTTTCCATGCGGAAATTTGGTTGTCCTCACAGTATCCATTGAAGAGACTATCCTTTCCTCGGTGAATAGCCTTGTTGAAAATGCATTGCCCAAAGTTGAATGGACTTACTTCTTTTTTGGCCGCAGGGCCTGGGAGGAGAGGCTGGGGTAGAGTTGGGAAAGTGGACAGTGTTGGACAAAGATAGTTCTATTAAACTACCGTTCCACACACATAATTCACTCACATAAGGGAGTTAATACTGTGACAAACTATCCCTTAAAAACAAAAATCCCACCTTACATGGTGTAACTGTAAACAGATTCATGCGACATGGTTTTTAATAGTTTAGCCATTTTCTAAATAGCAGCACATAAATTTCCCTACTTAAGATCTTGAGTTTCAACTTTATTGAGAAATTATGTATTCATTTTCTTAATCATCTTTCTCACCTTGGTTCAAAAATGACTTTCTGTTTCTGCCTCTGAATCCCGAGCTGTATGTGTATGTGTACATATGAACACAGGTATGTTCTTGGAAGGAGAGATAGGAAGTAGGTGATGAATACACTGTAAGCAGACTTAAGATGCACTCAAATTAAACCCTCTGTATTTTAAAAAACCCACACAACTTGTTACTTCTGTAGTATTGAATAGCATTTCAAGAGTTCCTTTGTGGGAAACAGAAAGATTTCTCCCAAGTTGTCTCCCCCAAATATATGCCAAACTTAGCTGCTTGCTACACATGGCAAATGACTCGAATGAATTTATTTCTAAGCTCTCATTTCTATTCCATTTTTGAGATAGTTAAAGTTTTTTGTCCAACCTGTCCGATAAGCACAGTGGAATTAATTGAAGGGCAGATAAATTAATGGCTCGGTAAGCCTTGTCTTTCTAGTTCTCGGGTCCCTTGCTTTCTGATGGTCGGACCAGGGTGCAGCTGCCTTAGCCAGTTCCCGGCTTCAGCTGGCAAGGCTTACTTCCTGCAAGAGATCCCTGAGGAGAAGCCGCATGGACCTGCCCCAAGGCAGCCCTGGATGCTGGAGCAGCCATGTGGAAACCCCTGCCAGCACTGAGATGTTTACACACTCACTGACTCGGCTTTCCTCCTGCAGTCAGTGTCATTGCATGTGTTTTGTGAGATGGAGGAGGACTTTGTGGATTGGTGTCGGACATAAGGTGTAATGTTGGACTTATGGGCTTGGACAGCACTGGGTTGAGGTGCTTTCTTAATGTACACTTACCCTTTATATAAAACTCTGTCTTATACATATGAGTTTCTGTGCATTTGTTTGCCTCGTTTACCCAGAATAATACAATTGTTCTATATGTCTCCCCTGATGATGGTACTATATTATTTTGACTAGTATAATTTTCGAGTAGAAAGGTTTAAAATTAGAAATGTAAGTCCGCCAACTTTTCCTCAGCTTGTTTGACCTATTAGAGGCTCTTTATTGTTCCATATGAATCTGAGGCCTGACTTTTCTCCGAAAGAAACAGTTGAAATTTTTTATGGGGATTACACCAAATCTGCAAATTTCATTGCTAGCTCTTGTCACCTTTATAATGTTAAGACTTCCAAACCATGAATGCTTGATGTCATTAGGGTTTGGTTCTGTTTCAAATGTTGTTCAGCTATGTTTTGTAGTTTTCAGTGTCCAAGCCTCTTGCCTCCTGGGATCTCTGGGTGTTTTATTCTTTAGAAGGCATTGTCCATGCAATCGATTTCCTTATCTTCTTTTCAGATTACTCATGTAGTCATCGCTGGTATTTGGAAGCACACGGACCTTTGTGCGTTGATCTTGTGGCCTGCCGGCGTGTTGAGTGCATTTATCAGTCATCGCAGTTCCTTGTGGAGTCCTTGGCTCTTTCTACATCTAAATGATATCACGTGCAACAGAGATTGTTTCACTTCCTCTTTTCCAGTTTGGAGGCCTTTTATTTCTTTTTGCTGCATAAATACCCTGGCTAAAACTGCCAGGGCAGTGTGGAGTAGCAGTGGTCAAAGCAGGCATCCTCAGCTGGTTTGTGGTTTTCGAGGGAAAGCTGTCTGCCCGTTATCGCTGATTGTGATGTTAGTGGTGGGCTTTTCAGGAAGGCCTTTCGCATGTTAAGGAAATACATTTCTGTTTCTAATTGTGGAAGGCTTGTTAACCTTGAAGGAGCTTTGACTTTGCCCCATGCTTTGTCTGTTTCAGCTGCGGTTCTCATGTATTTCGTTTCACTTCCTTCTGTTAGTCTATGTTGCCCTCACTGATTCTCATGTACTGAAGTAAACGTGTTGTTGGAGATAAATATCTGTGACCTTTCTGATCTTCCTTCACATCCATGTGAGGAGTCTTCGAACATTTTGTGGGAAAATTCCACTATCTTTCAAAAAGTATTATTGGCATACAGTTCATACTGCATACAATTTAATAGGTCAGTCACGTTCAGAAGAGTTGTGCAATCATCACCACGATCAACTGCAGAACATTATCTTCCTTCTCGTACTCGTGGTTGTTGGCAACCCCAACCTCCCTCGCCAGACCTCTAGGTCAGCGCTTCTCCACCTTCCGAATGCCGCGGCCCTTTCATACCGTTCCTCGGGTGGTGGTGACCCCTCCCCCGTAAACATAAAATCATTTTCCTTGCTACTCCATAACTGTAAGTTTGCTGCTGTTATGAACCGGGCGACCCCTGTGAAAGGGTCGTTCAACCCCCCAACGGGATCACAACCCACAAGTTGAGACCCGCTGCTCTAGCTAATTACTAATCCACTTGCTATCTCTATAGATGTACCCATCCTGGATTTCGTATACCAGAAAACCAAAAAAAAATCATATAAAACAAAACAAGAAATGACCAAAAAATCCCAACAACAATGACAAAAACAAAGCGAAAACAAAAGTTTAAAAAAAATTCTTTAAATAAACTTACTTCTAGAGATTTCTAAAATAAAAAGAAGAGAAACATCTTAAAGAAAAGAGAAGAAAGCAGAGCATATTAAAAACTCAGTGGCTTTAAGATGGGCTAAAAGGAGAGAAAAATAAGGTGTCACGTTCTCAGCTGAGTGCATCTTGCCGTGATCCACGTTGCTGTGCTCGGACTGAAAGCAAGGCTATTCCTGCTCTTAGACGATGGTCAGAGGGGAGTCCCCGGGAGGCTTAATCCATGTGGATAGCCTTGACATGGATTTGGGGTACTCACTGCCATCCGCGGGTGTTCATAATTTAAGCTCTGGTACTGTTCTATGCTCCGGATTTGGATTTTATTATTTACAGTCCTTGGATCACACAGGCTGGTGTGCTTCTTTCACATGGAGTTAGTTAACACCTTACTGAGATGGCTGCTTGTTTTCAGACAAGCCTTTAAGACACCAGGCATTATTCCTTCTGATAGCTAGACACCTTCTTCTGGTTTATTCACCCCACTTGCTATAGCACCTGTATCTTCTTTGATTTCTTCATGAGGGCTTGTATTGAGTAGGGCCATGTCATGAACTAATTGTTCTTAGGGATGGGCTAAAATTAATAGCAAACCCAAATTCCACGCAAATAGCTATGGTTCGTATATGTCTCTGGTTCACTTTGGAGACATCATCATTATTTTATAATAGAGAATAGTATAAATCATCCTCGTGGGGCATAAAGTAATTCTATGGATAGTATCATTAATTTAACCAATGGATTTTCCACAATTTTTTGAAGTCTCGTCATATGTGTTTTGGGATATACTAGAAGAAAATGGCAGTTATGTTATTTCACTGTGAGATTTGTGTGTCTGAACGAGGAATGTAGAAAGTGTTCAA